TGGTCAAAGATCCCTCTCTCGGTGTTCTCCAATCTTGTAAAATGTTATAGGAGGAGATTAAGTGCTGTCTTGTTGGCAAAAGGGGGTTGTACAAAGTATTAACATCAGGGGTGCCAATAATTGTGGGACACATGATTTCAAGGTTGTTTTTTTTCTAAATGTGTGATTTTTTTTTTTACCACCAAAGTAATATACTTAAATAAAAGGTTGGATTTTTCTCTTTTTTTGCATTTGGGTTCTATGTTGTTTAAAAAAAAGGAGAATTTTTAGAAGTCCTCGACCACATCTTAAACCGGGGTGCCAATAATTGTGGAGGGCACTGTATATATGTGTCTGTGTGTGTGTGCGCAGTGTGTGTATATATATATATATATGTGTGTGTGTGTGTGTGTGTGTGTACACTTATATTATATATTAACAAACTTTTATGCTAGTTGGGATTGATCGCAATTAATCAATTTGAAAGCAGTAATGTATATTAGAATGATTACTTTATATACTGTACACACACACACACACACACACACAGGGTGTGTGTATATATATATATATATATAGAGAGAGAGATAGAGATAGAGATAGAGATAGAGATAGAGAGAGAGAGAGAGAGAGAGAGAGAGAGAGAGAGAGAGAGAGAGAGAGAGAGAGAGAGAGAGAGAGAGACAGACTTTTGTGATTAATCTCGATCACTAATATACATCTGCACATGTAGGCAGTATTTTAAGGCGGTATTTCAGTTCCCTGAGAAGGTGACTGCATTAAGGCGGTATTTCAGTTCCCTGAGAAGGTGACTGCATTAAGGCGGTATTTCAGTTCCCTGAGAAGGTGACTGCATTAAGGCGGTATTTCAGTTCCCTGAGAAGGTGACTGCACATGTATTGTTGTCTCCACAGGACTCCTCGATCTCTGCGTCTGCTGTTCCTCCTCGCGTCACGTCTTCAGCCGGAGAACTTCTCGCCGCCGCTAAAGTCCAGCTGCCTCTCAACATGTGAGTCCTGAGGAGGCTCGTACACACACACACACACACCACAGAGACGTCTGCTTGATGTCTGCTTTTGCATCTGTAACAGAGTTTGCTCATCTGCAATATGTCTCGAAGATGTTTATGATTTCGATTGAATGTATAACTGCTTTTTTCTAAGACGTTTATCAGACGTTTGTTCATATATTTCATATATTTGGTCCCATTAGTTAAGTAAGGGATAATATACATCCAGCCGGTTGTTATCTCAGAATAAACCCGACAGGGTGATCAGGACCCGACTCGAAGCGGATGTACATTATCCCGGTTATTACACGCCTACTCGCCACATAAGTAAATAATTAGACATGAAATATTGATCTGAGACTAAATATTTGATTAGGTCTTTAAACGCGGAGAGAGCAGTTTCAGCCTCGAGATCAAACTAGACGGACATTTAAGAGATAAAGTCATAACACAGCATTTCAATACATAAATAATTATGGAGAGATATTGATTTCTGTTTGTATCTTATAATCCAACAGTGTACAAAACAATAGTCATAAAATGGCGGCATCTGCGTTTGTGTGAAACGAGAGAGAGCGAGTCCTCGATACTGGATGGCATAATTAAATAACTACACAAAATATTGATCCGACTGAGTTTTAATATATTATTAGCTCACCAAACGCAAAACTTCCATGAAGAAAAAGCGTTCCTAGCGAGTGTATTGCGCAGATGTCTTCAGTGACACGGATGAGCCTGTGTTTCTGCTGTTATCTGGGAATAATATACCGGCGCAATTGACCAATCAGAATTGAGCATTCCACAGAGCCGTGTAATAATTAACAGTTCAGGGTTCTCAAGTGTTATCAAAAGCTTGGAGTGAGATCCCATGCGGTTAGGGGAGGAGCCCCAATGGAGCCCCGCCCCTGCCCATCCCTGCCCCCCAATTTTACCCATTGTTCATAATTAACCAGCACAAATTGAAATTATAACAATTGGTAAATCTGATAAATGCCAGAGCAATTCATCACATCAAATATAGCCTACTCTTTAATGTTATATTTCAAAATTACAAATATACGAAAAATTACGAAAATATAACAAATTGCTCCAAACAGTTTGGAAAAACAAATCTTTTTGCATTTTGAATGTGTCAAAATGGTATAATGATTTATTGTGTGGTGGGACATTGTGAACAAATGGACATATTAGAGTATTAAGGTGTTTTTTTGTGTGTGTGTGTGTGTGTGTGTGTGTGTGTACACAAATATCTTTTTGCTTTTTCCCTGACATCTTTGAAAAATACAAATGCAATGGCAATTATTAATGTTTGTTTTGACAGGATATAAAATATTACCCAGCGCACTCAACTTTAATACATGTAGCCTTAATGTAACTAGAAAGACTATTAATACAGTATAATATATCATTTAAAAATAAAATGAAGAAATACATTTTCATTCCTTCCCATACCCACTAACATTTCCCTTATAGTTTCAGGTAATGTAAGCTAGCCAAACTGAGCCAAAGCTTTTGGCCTGGTTGCAAAGTAGTTGTAGAGTTTTTGACTGCATCAATAATAATGTATACGATGGGCTATATATTAAATGTTCTAGCCTAAAAATGTTAGACGAGCTTTCTTCCCTTCTCCATCACGACGCGTGTTTGTGCGATGTTGTTGGTTACCTAACGAACGTACGGTGGCCGAGAATATTCCGTCAACTTCTGTGTGTTCGCGCGCGTCTATGTTGCCTAACGAACGCAATCTGGCCGAGAGATACGTGCTGGCGGCAGGAAACTTATCTTTGTGTGTCTGCGCCTCGTATACAATGTTATATATAAAGCTTGCAGGACAACTTGGTTGGCATTGCCTTTTCAGCGTGAGATGTACACGGTGTGGCGTGTGAGCGTGTGAACTGGTTGAATTGCGTGTGTCTCACGGCCAATGCGTGAGACTTGAGAACCCACATTAACAATGAGCGATACATTTGTGCAAACCTGGTTAAAACTGAGCATAAGATTATCAGGAATATTGTTTGCTCATTATTATATATTTGTCATATTCCGCAGCTATCTGGCCATGTACGCGTACAAACCGCAGAAGGCGGACGAGCTGGAGCTGCGCAAGAGCGAGATGTACCGCGTCACGGAGAAGTGTCAGGACGGGTGGTTCAAAGGAACGTCACTGCGCTCCGGAGCGTCGGGAGTTTTCCCGGGAAACTACGTCACGCCCGTCTCCAGGTGAGCGAGTCACGTTCACTCCTGAAACTAATGCATCGGCTGTATAATCTCAGGGTGGCCGCGGGTTCTTAAAAAGTCTTAACATTTCTTAAATAAAGTTTTTTTAATAAAAGGCCTTAAAAAGTATCAAAATATTCGATGGGTCTTAAATATTTCTGGTCACATTACCGCTAAAATTTCTCCAGTCTGACGGACCGAATGTCCATCAATAAAACAGTGCCTGTACACAACCATCATATAATGATAAAAATCTATCCAGTGTTTTTGTTTTAATCTCCTTATATGTTTCCCCTGCCTCAAATCGAGCCGTTCGACCGTGTGACGTCACTAAATCGGAATGCCCCTCCCACGATTGTTGATTGACAGCAGTGTTTCAACACAGACCCGCCCTGAGCGAGCTGTCACCATAGTCCATCATTGTTGATACGCTGGAGCAGAATGGCGTCTAAGCGATTGTGGTGTTCTGTTCTTGGGTGTAATAACGAACACAGTCATTTTAATGTTCCTAAACCCGAACCGCTGAAGACGCAGTGGTTGAGTTTGTTTTCGAAGGGAATATTCCCCACGAGCAACGTCAATGCGTTCATGTTTGTGCGAATCATTTCTCAGCAGACTGCTTTATAAACGAGGGTCAGACTCAGTATAAAGCTGGTTTTGCTAAGAAGCTGCTCCTGAAAAAAGAATCGGCACCAACTATTCGTGTCCCTGCTGCACCTCCAGAAGAAGTGAGGGTAAAATTGTATATTTTATATTAATCTTTGCAAATCGCTTGCACGCTTCACGATGAATGCGGCTAAGGTTTACACTCAGGGTAAGTTACATTACGGCATGTTTTCTATGTACGACGGTCTCAATATAATTCATAATCCCACGTTTATAATGAACAACGCGTTATGGTTATTGTGTTATTACAAACTGAGTACGTATACATCAATAAACACATAGCGTTCGTACATCTCACTAAGTTACTCTAACGTTACCCTGCCAGTACACAAAGATAGATCAAAGTGAAATTATGTTAACCAACCATTCAGAAACGTCCTGTTCGAGCCTTAATTGCCGAACTTCTTTGCGGCCGTCATCTTGTTCCGGGTCCGACTCCGGTTCAAACTGATACGGTTTCACAGATGTGTCCTCAGAGACTCCCGCTGCCATTCTCTCTCCAAAATATACCCTCAACTGTTGTCAAGGCAACACTCCACGTGCGTTGTGTCTAAACGCCCGCAGAACAGAGGGGCGGAGTCAGCAAAGCTCATTATCATTTAAAGGCATATGCACTGAAACGGCGTGCTGAAACCAGCTGTTTTTGACCAGGTAAAATTAGTGTTTTCTTACAATACTAACGAGAATTTTTAATTAAAGTATATTACAAACTATTCATTTAGACCCTAAAGAATCAAAATAACTTGTATGAAAATGGCATTATATGACCCCTTTAAGTTAAGTTAACCTATAGTTAAGTAAGATAACATGACGGGAGCTATTTTGCTGAATATTCTCACGATTGCAAACGTAACATTGATTTTAGTTCAATAAACAAGTAGGCCTAGTTAATATTAAATTACTTCAATGACTTATAGGTTAAACATTAAATATATACGTATGTAATATAATGTGTATTTCCATCACAGGTTTGGTCTTAAATTTCATTCAAAGTGGGATTAAAAAGGTCTTAAAAAGTCTTAAATTGAACTTGTTTATATCTATAGACACCCTGATTCTCTTCACTGAAGCAGTTCAACCTTCTGCCTCTCAGTCCTGCTGTTCATCATTACATCTGAGTGTTTGAATGATAAACATATTATTGAGTATCATATTATTTTCACATCTTATTCATATTATTGTAGAGTATTTCTCTATTTTGGTTTGAGTGGATGTTAGTCCGTTTTCAACAATGAGACATAAATGGAATGCGAGTTCTAAACGCAGGATTATGATGAAAAATGTCATAATTATTAGTTATAAGTGCAGAATTTTGAGGAAAAAGTTTGAATTATTAGTTCTAAATGCAGAATTATGAGGAAAAAAGTCAGAATTATGAGTTGTAAATGTAGAATTATGAGGAAAAAAGTCAGAATTATGAGTTGCAAATGTAGAATTATGGGGGAAAGTCAGAATTATGAGTTGTAAATGTAGAATTATGAGGAAAAAAGTCAGAATTATGAGTTGCAAATGTAGAATTATGGGGGAAAGTCAGAATTATGAGTTATAAATGCAGAATTATGAGGAAAAAATTCAGAATTCTAAGTTATAAATGTAGAATTATGGGCGGAAAGACAGAATTGTGAGTTATAAATGCAGAATTATGAGGAAAAAAGTCAGAATTATGAGTTGAGAAGAAATTCTGAATTATGAGATATAAACTCAGAATTATGAGGGGAAAATGTCAGAATTATGAGTTATAAATGCAGTATTATGAGAAAAAAGTCAGAATTATGAGTTGTAAATGCAGAATTATAGGGGGAAAAGTCAGAATTATGAGTTATAAATGTAGAATTATGAGGAAAAAAGTCAGAATTATGAGTTATAAATGTAGAATTATGGGCGGAAAGTCAGAATTATGAGGGGAAAATGTCAGAATTATGAGTTATAAATGCAAAATTATGAGGAAAAAAGTCAGAATTATGAGTTATAAATGTAGAATTATGGGCGGAAAGTCAGATTTCTGAGTTATAAATCCAGAATTATGAGGAAAAAAAGTCAGAATTATGAGTTAGAGAAGAAATTCAGAATTATGAGATATAAACTCAGAATTATGAGGGGAAAATGTCATAATTATGAGTTATAAATGCAGAATTATGAGAAAAAAGTCATAATTATTGGTTATAAACAGAATTATGAGGAAAAAAAGTCAGAATTATGAGTTGTAAATGCAGAATTATGAGAAAAAAAGTCATAATTATTGGTTATAAACAGAATTATGAGAAAAAAAGTCAGAACTTATGAGTTGTAAATGCAGAATTATGAAGAAAAATTCTGAATAATGAGATGTAAACAGAATTATAAGAAAGTCACAATTATGAGTTATAAATGCAGAATTATGAGAAAAAAAGCCAGAATTGACGAATATAAACCCAGAATTATGAGAAAAAAGTTGGAAACATGCTTCAAAGCGTCCTGCTCATTTTCATGTAATTGTTTGAATAATCAAGTCATAATTATTTGCAGGTTTCTGTGTTTGAACAGAGCATATCTCTAAAGATCTGTTTTATAGAAACACTTCCTTAAATTACAACACAAACATTCGTTTTTACACGTTGATCCAGACCTGATTTTACAATATTTCTAGTATTATTTCATCTTTTATGTAAACGCTGCTTCTTTCAGCCGATCTCTGGGTTTGTTTCGACTCGCAGTAACAGTAAAATGAACGAGCAGCAGAGAGAATGTGTTTCCTTTGAGTTTGCAGATGCTTATCTCCAGCTGAGGTCCTGGATCCGCTCCGCTCAGGGCAGGTGTGTTTTACATGCGCAGGCTTTCATCACCAGAGTTCAGAAGGGGAAATTGCTCCGCCGACACATTGATTAGGATATATAGCTGATGCATTACAGCTGCATTTCCACAGGAGAGAGTCTATTACTAGATCTTAGAGCTGCACGATTAATCATTAAAAGATCCTGATCTCGACTCAAACACACACATGATCTTATTCCTTAATGACAGCGATTCGTCTCTTTTAAATCTTTGACAAGTCCGATCACAGCGAACATTCAGATCTGTGTTCTGAGCCAGAGAGAGCCGTTCATGTATAGATATGAAACTGTCTTTTCTAACACACTTTATCATTATTTCTGTCTTACAATCATTCAGATTATCACTGGATAAAGGTTTATAGTTCAGATATAAACACTGATGTCTACAGTAGTGATCAAAATAGAGTAAATCACCTTTTGAAAGTAACTTGATGCTTCAAATAAAGATTGTATTGATTACATCGTTACACCAGTAGGTGGCGACAAGTGACTGTTAAAAAATATGTTTGTCATTGAATCATTCACTCAAGAAATCTGTTCAAAAACGCTGATTCATCCAGTAATGCAACACGTGAAGTCTTTGCGTGAGTCATTGAATCATTCACTTAAGAGATTTGTTCAAAATTCTGCTTCATCCAGAAATGATCAATCATTGAATCATTCATTCAAGAGATTCATTAAAAAATGCTGATTCATCCAGTAATAAAACAAGTGAAGTCTTTGTGTGAGTCATTGAATCATTCATTCAAAAGATTTGTTCAAAAACACTGATTCATCCAGTAATGCAACAAGTGAAGTCTTTGTGTGAGTCATTGAATCATTCACTTAAGAGATTTGTTCAAAATTCTGCTTCATCCAGAAATGATCAATCATTGAATCATTCATTCAAGAGATTCATTAAAAAATGCTGATTCATCCAGTAATGAAACAAGTGAAGTCTTTGCGTGAGTCATTGAATCATTCATTCAAAAGATTTGTTCAAAAACACTGATTCATCCAGTAATGCAACAAGTGAAGTCTTTGCGTGAGTCATTGAATCATTAATTTAAGAGTTTCGTTCAAAATTCTGCTTCATCCAGAAATGAAACAATTATTGAATCATTAATTTAAGAGATTCATAAAAAAATGCTGATTCATCCAGTAATGCAACAAGTGAAGACTTTGCGTGAGTCATTGAATCATTTATCATTAATTCAAGAAATTTGTTCAAAGACGCTGATTCACCCATAATGAAACAATTGAAGTCTTTGTAAGTATGACATTGAATCATCATTCATTCAAACAGATTTTTTACTGTAGTAACTGACGTTTTGTCTGAACCTCATACTAGATGGCATGTTATTTTGATTAGTTGCCTATTCAGAATTGTGGGAGAGTCATGATCTCTATTTTAAACAAAATATTCTCAGTTTATTAGAATCGTGCAGCTCGAATCTGTTTGAGTCTCTGAATTTTCTTCATCATCATCATCATCATCACATGTTTGCTGAGGTTACTGTGAGCCTTTGCATCTGGTGTTTTGAAAACTCCTGAAATAAACGTGCAACTCTTTGCGTTCCCAGTGCTGTTTTAGACGTGTGAGTCTCAGCTGTAATTGGTGAAGTTGCATTTGCAGAAACTTCATGTGTGACAGGCGAACAAACACCTTTTTCATCATGCAATGAAAGTAGAGATAACGAGCCTTAGACGAGGCGAATCCTCCTGAGTGTGTGTGTGTGTGTGTTTTCACACAGGTGGAGCCGTGTAGCGTCTGTAAACACATTAAGCCACGGCTCCGGGCTTCTGGGAATCCTTTTCCCTCAGGTGGCCTCCATACGCGCGGGTCAACATAAAAACGTGATCTGGTTCACTTAGAGAGGCTGATATCTGCAGAATCCATCGGTGTGAATGCTCATCTCTCCTCTGTCTGTACAGGTTCGCTTCAGTCTGATTAATGCAGCACAAAACGCCAGATTACATGAAGTCATTATGCGTTAAATGTCAGCAGACACAGAAGATTTGAGTCGCTCATTCCTGCGTCATGAACTATACAGAATAATAAAGAGTTTAATGGTTACTTGAGTTTATATTGCAGTTCTGTGACAGTTTATAACTACACAAAAGAGGTTCAATGGGGTTTTATATAGAACTCAAGAAGGGTTCTTGACTCAATTTTAAAGAACCCTTTATGCCAAAAATGTCTATAAAAGGGGAAATGTCTTACATGATTGCATAATACTTTCAGGTTTAATAGGTTATTTCATTTTTCTTCCAGTGATCTATGTATCTGATGTACACTGTATATATATATATATATATATATAAATATATGAATATGTTCACATTTAGGATCATTCTACGTATGTCCTTAAATGAGACCTTGGAAAACCTTGGATATGTGAGGGAAATTAATAAAAACTTAAATAAGATAAGTTTTAAAATGTTGAGAATGACTAGAAAATTTATTTAAAACTATTGGTGATAAAAAGGTTGAAGAACATTCACTTAAACTGAAACTTCTTGAATTAATTTGAATTAACTATAATTATTTTATGTAGAACACTTTATCATGAGGTCTCGTTTGTAAACATTAGTCAATGCATTGCCGCTTTTTACACCATGTAATAGAAGTCCCAGGTGTCCCCTGAATGTGTCTGAATTTTTTGAGTGGAAAATGTTTTTTTTTGTGTGTGTGCATGTATCTTTAAATGCAAATGAGCTTAGTGTCCCCGCCCCCTTTCCAGAAGAGGGCGGAGCCTGCACAGCTCGTGCCTCGGATACTCTGCCAAAAACTAAAACATCTTTTTTTTTTTTTTTTACTATCACAGTCGGTTATCTCTGTGAACGTAAACAGCAGGGAAAGAAATTGCATGTGTATATTAGTTCTGTGTATTAAAGTGAAAGCAGTGTAATATACAGAACCCACTGCTGTTTTTATGATTAATTCATCAAAACAGAAAATCACTCACTGCTCTTGACTGAATAACTTTAGTAGCTTTAATAAGAGTAGCTACTTTTCTTACTTGAATGCTGCTGTTAAACGCTCTGGCGAGGAGATGTGTGCAGCTCACTGAGAGGAGGAGCTATGCTAATAGGGCGGAGTCTGTCAGCAGTCATGGGTGGGGCTGTATAATAGGGCGGAGTCTGTCAGCAGTCATGGGTGGGGCTATATAATAGGGCGGAGTCTGTCAGCAGTCATGGGTGGGGCTATATAATAGGGCGGAGTCTGTCAGCAGTCGTGGGTGGGGCTATATAATAGGGCGGAGTCTGTCAGCAGTCATGGGTGGAGCTATATAATAGGGCGGAGTCTGTCAGCAGTCATGGGTGGGGCTATATAATAGGGCGGAGTCTGTCAGAAGTCATGGTGGGGCTATATAATAGGGTGGAGTCTGTCAGCAGTCATGGGTGGGGCTATATAATAGGGCGGAGTCTGTCAGCAGTCATGGGTGGGGCTATATAATAGGGCGGAGTCTGTCAGCAGTCGTGGACGGGGCTATATAATAGGGCGGAGTCTGTCAGCAGTCATGGGTGGGGCTATATAATAGGGCGGAGTCTGTCAGCAGTCGTGGGCGGAGCTATATAATAGGGCGGAGTCTGTCAGCAGTCCTGGGTGGGGCTATATAATAGGGCGGAGTCTGTCAGCAGTCGTGGACGGGGCTATATAATAGGGCGGAGTCTGTCAGCAGTCGTGGGCGGGGCCTGTGCAATGTGATGTCACAAAAGCTAGAATCTGCTTGTTCTGAGACACTGCTTATGATTTATGGGGATTTAAAAAAAGGGGAGTTAGTGGATTTTTACCAGTATAGGGTGGTTGTGTACACACACTGCTAAAACACATTCAAACACAATGTAAAAGTGAATTTTGTATAATAGATCCCCTTTAACTAACATAAACTAACACTGAGAACTGCGTGTGTTTTTTTTTTTTTGTTGCTGAAATTATGAGAATCGCTCCGATTCATTTCAGTCAATAATTGATTCCTCTGGGATCTCCGGTTATAATCCCTCTGTAATCCTCCACTAGTGTCCTCAGGCCAAGACTGACCTCAAGAAACCGTTAAACACATCATCTAGACTAGCGGTCAATACACATCAGGGACTCTGACTCCTGTGTTGCATTAGCGCTCACTGTTTCGGCATGTGTTGTGATTGTGTGTCCTCATGTGTTGTGATTGTGTGTCCTCATGTGTTGTGATTGTGTGTCCTCATGTGTTGTGATTGTGTGTCCTCATGTGTTGTGATTGTGTGTCCTCATGTGTTGTGATTGTGTGTCCTCATGTGTTGTGATTGTGTGTCCTCATGTGTTGTGATTGTGTGTCCTCATGTGTTGTGATTGTGTGTCCTCATGTGTTGTGATCGTGTGTCCTCATGTGTTGTGATTGTGTGTCCTCATGTGTTGTGATTGTGTGTCCTCATGTGTTGTGATTGTGTGTCCTCATGTGTTGTGATTGTGTGTCCTCATGTGTTGTGATTGTGTGTCCTCATGTGTTGTGATTGTGTGTCCTCATGTGTTGTGATTGTGTGTCCTCATGTGTTGTGATTGTGTGTCCTCATGTGTTGTGATCGTGTGTCCTCATGTGTTGTGATTGTGTGTCCTCATGTGTTGTGATTGTGTGTCCTCATGTGTTGTGATTGTGTGTCCTCATGTGTTGTGATTGTGTGTCCTCAGGGCCCCGTTTGCAGTCGGTCAGACGCGCTCGTGTCTCCCAGGATCGGCTCAGTCGAAGGTGGCTCCTGGATCCCCGGGCTCCGCCGGCCCCTCGAGTCCCGTCCTGATGTCCTCGGCGTCTCGCTCCGGCTCGCCGCTCTCCAGCCCGTCGTCTCCACACATGAAGAACTGTCTGCGCTTGTCCAGTCAGCAAACTGTCAATCAAGCGCGCGCCGCCATGCAGCTCGGTGAGGAAAACTCATGAGAGTGATTATAAAACCTGATTAATCATGATTTGAGTCCTTTAATGGATTCATGTGTTCAGTCAGAGACGCGTGGATGACGCATTGACATATTATAATTAACTAAAGCCATAAAAAATTAATGGTAACACTTTACAATAAGGTTCATTTATTAAACATTAGTTAATGTATTAACTAACATGAACTAACCATGAGCAATACATTTGTTACTGTATTTGTTAATCTTTGTTAACGTTAGTTAATACAAATCCAGCCGTTCATTGTGTGTTCATGTTAGTTCACAGTGCATTAACTAATGTTAACAAGATTTTAATAAATGTTGAAATTAACATTAACAAAGATTAACAAATGCTGTTTTGTTAATTCTTAGTTAATGTTAACTAATGTAGTTAACTAATGAACCTTATTGTAAAGTGTTACCAAATTAATAAATATTTTGCACTTGAAATTAAATAAACTTTTATTTCATTTCAACTAGTTGCCAAGGAAACATTTCTCATTTTTATTAAGTTTAACTTGATGTACTAAAATAACGAAAAACTGAACTAAAAAACTAAAAACCAAAACTGAAATAAAAATGTATAAAAACTATACAGACATAAAAAACTAATAAAAATTAGGGCTGTCAAACGATTAATCGCGATTAATCGCATCCAAAATAAAAGTTTGTGTTTACATAATATATGTGTGTGTGTACTGTGTATAATTATTTTTAATACATAAATACCCACACATGCATGTGTATTTAAGAAATATTTGCATGTATATACTGTATATAGACTGAATGTAGACTATATATATAATGTAAATTTTATATAAATATAAACATTTTATATATAAATAACATATTTTTCTTAAATATATACATGTGTCCATTTATATACAAAATAATTATACACAGTACACACACATATATTATGTAAACAAACTTTTATTTTGGATGCGATTAATCGTGATTAATCGTTTGACAGCCCTAATAAAAATTCAACATATGACAGTGCTGAGACAGTGCTTATGATTTATGGGGGTAAAAAAAAAGCACTGGGTGGATTTTTATCTTTATGGGGTGGTTGTGTACACACACTGCCAACACACATTTGAAAGTGAATTTTTGCATAATAGGTGCCATTTAAACTGAAATAAAAATGTACAAAAACTATCTTAAAAAACTAATAAAAATGACAACAAAATGTCTAACTTAAAATGAATAATTCAAAATATGAATAAAAGCTAGTGTCTGAATATAGCAGTCATTGCTGAAGCTTTCTGTAGTGTTATTTGTCTTCACACACACTGAGTTTTTGCCGCGTGTCAGCTCAGCGCCGATGAAGCGTGTGAACGCGACGCGCTCTGTAATCTATTCAGGTCAGATGGCGCTCACTGAAGACGCATTAGCTGGTTAAGGAGCTTGTTAAAGCATTTACAGCTCAGATAAGATGTCTGCTGTAATGAATGCCTTGCGCCTGCGTTGGCAGTAATTGCCGGGTTGCATTCACGGCAGTTCTTGAACTTTGAGGAGCGAAGCTCGTGAAGCGGCGCAGAACAGCGGGACGGGACACCGACTCACTGCAAATCAGACCTGCTGTGATATCATCTAATCACATGACGACACATGCAGGACTGCTCAAAATAGTGATGCAAATCCAAATTTGAAATGCATTTTTTTTTTACAAGCTCATGTTTTGCTGTGCTTGTTTAATGGGCTGCACAATTTGACCAAAAAATGTGTGATTGTATTTCAGACTAAAATGATCAGTATGATGATCTTTCTTATTTTATTTAATATATATATACACATATATATTAAAATGTATTATTTTTATATTTTTTAATTATATGTAATATTTAATATATAATGTAATAAATATTCAAATCTATTATTTTTATATTTTTTCATTATATTTTAATATTTAATATATAATGTAATAAGCACAACAACATTAGTATTGAAAAAAAAACAATAATAATAATATTTTTTTACAGTGCAACTGCAACATTCATTTCTTCATTAAAGTTTCTCTTTTGACAACAGCTGGTCTGTAAGCACTTCTCATTACAAGTTTGGGAAGATGATATTGCATTTTTAAATGCGTGTTGTAATAATCGACCCAAACACACAACACATGCAGAGACGAGACACTAAAAACACAGGTGAGCGTGTAGAAGAACACAGTGTTGCGCTTCACTCTGAAACACGCAGCACATGTTTATGTTTCCTGTGTGATCTGCTGCCTAACCTGACACTGTGTCATACTCTTGTTTTTGTTCTATTTTCCGTTAAAAAACAATAAACATTTAATTTTAAAAACAATACAGCACATACAGGGTTTGAAATTAACACATGCGTGTAAAAATCAACAGTGGCGGGTAACGCTGTCAAATCACGAGCCAATTTGGTGTGTTACTTACTATGTTTACTCACTTTGCTGGGAAGTTTGTGTAAGCCAAATCTGCGCGGATTTAGCACAAATCCTCAACTCTATATTAAATACAGCGTATTGCGCAGAATCTGCACATATCTGGCTTACTTGAACACACACGTCACTACGCAACAAATAACAGCGCGCTTGTTCACTTGCATTGAAGCAATAGCGAATATTAAAAAGCATTTGGTGAACAGAAAAGACATTGTTATTTTCCATGTTCTGTGTCCTGTATTGATCTGTCCACCTAAAACACATTTTTGGTGGAGGATGAAAGTGGAAGGGAAGACATTCTGGATGACAAAAATAAATGTATGAAATCCAAATTTTATAATATATATATATATATATATATATATATATATATATATATATATATATATATATATATATATATATATATATATATATATATATATATATATATATATATATATATATATATATATATATATATACGGTATATTAGCCTATAAGCTGTGACATAGATAATCTGGTTTATTTCTTTTTTTCTGGCTAGTAGAAGTTTTGAATGGCCGGTAACTTAAAAATTTAGTAGCCAAATTGGCCGGTGAATGTACATACATTTCTGTGACAAATGACTAATTGCATTTGAAATGATTCGAACAGTCCACAGTCCTCCGGCGAGCAGCAGCCCTGAGCGACCCACGGCATCCGTGACCCCTCTGCGACCCCAGGCCAGCCCGTCCCGCCCCCCCTCTCGACCCCTGTCGATGGTGGCGACCCCTCAGGTGCACCCGCTCTCTCCTAACCCGAACTCTGCTCGACTCCTCATGAGCTCCGCCTCCTCCGCCATCACACCGCCCAACGTCACCGCGGCTCATCTGAACGCCGGAGACGCTCCACACGCTCACGGACTCCACAAACTCCAGGACAAGAAGGTGGAGAAGGTCAGTCATGCTCATTTACACATTCATAGAAGTTAATTAGTTTATTTAAATTCATAGTAATAATAAATCAAATTCATTATGACAGAAATTTGATTTTTATTATGCATTTATAGTGCCTCATGATTACTAGTATATGAATATATATACTAGTATATGATTATATACTAGTACCAGTTATCATAGTATACGAGTTATCATAGTATATGAATATAACTAGTACTAGTTATCATAGTATATCATAGTATATGAATATAACTAGTACTAGTTATCATAGTATATCATAGTATATGAATATAACTTGTACTAGTTATCATAGTATATGAATATAACTTGTACTAGTTATCATAGTATATCATAGTAAGCCCCAGCAACTGCCTAGCAACCACCCAGAGTGCCCCAGCAACCGTCTAGCAACCACCCAGAATGCCCCAGCAACTGCCTACCAACCACCCAGAGTGCCCCAGCAACCACCTAGCAACCACCCAAAATGCCCCAGCAACCGCTTAGCAACCACCAAGAGTACCCCAGCAACCATCTAGCAACCACCCAAAATGCCCCAGAAACTGCCTAGCAACCACCCAGATTGCCCCAGCAACCCTAGGAACCACCCAGAACCACCCAGCAACTGCCTACCAGCCACCCTGAACGCTTGCTAGTTATCATTGTATATGAATATAACTTGTACTAGTTATCACAGTATATGAATATAACTAGCACTAGTTATCATAGTATATCATAGTATATGAAAATAACTAGTACTGGTTATCATAGTGTACTAGTTATCATAGTATATGAATATAGCTTGTACTAGTTATCACAGAATATGAATATAACTTGTACTAGTTATCACAGAATATGAATATAACTTGTACTAGTTATCACAGTATATGAATATAACTAGTACTAGTTATCATAGTATATAAATATATATTCTAGTACTAGTTTTCATAGTATATGGATACAACTAGAATATGAATATATACTAGTACTAGTTCTCAAAGTTTATCAAAATAACTAGAATAAGAATATATTCTAGTACTCGTTATTATATAGGGACAATACATGCCTAAAAACACTAAATACATTTTTGTCATAATTAGTTTAATATTACAAGACTTAAGTTTTGTTCAATTAAAAATGTTTTAAAATTGAGTGAGTTTTTGTTTAAAACAATAAATAATGTCTGCCAGTGGGGTCAGAAAAATAATCTTTGTTTCCCCTTTATTTCTGAAGTTTCTTTTTATGACTCCAATGGCATATGCATGAATATGCAAATTAGCCCCGCCTCCACTCACACCAGCTCGGATTACCCGATCCACTCGTTCAACTTTACTGTAGTAAACGCTGCACAATGCAAGTGGAAATACTGGTGTAATTCAGCCATAGATGTTAGAATTAGAAACTGATTCAGAAGAAGTGGAAGAGTGAATTATACAGGATCGCTCTCTACAACTGCAAACACATAACGGTAATTAATATGATTAGCGTTTGGCTTGACTATGTTAAACAGATAATAATGTGTTGCTAACGTTACACAAACCATGTTCCCGTTCGCCATCTCAGAGTCAAACAGCTGCCTTCTAACAATCAGCATCCTTACAAATGCTTGGAAAAACTCAGAACATTTAGGTTCAAAATGATTTGCTCTGTTTACTTTAATAGTATATTAATACATAAATATTTTATTTAATAAATGATCTAAGCAAATCAGCAAAAAAAAGTTTAACAGCTGAAAATAAACATTTTCTCAGTCTTTCTGTTGGCAGTTGAGGGACAGACTTCACTGAGGTCATGAGATGAACACGAGTGATGTGTGATCACATGTTGTTTCAGCACTCAGCAGTCGTTCCTGCATGTTGATTATGGGCTGTTAATTAGCTCAGAGTCACACGCATGGTTAAAAATAAGACAACAAGACACACAAGTCATGCACATGTGGGAAGGAACCGGTGTGCACATGTGATCTCAGAATGTCAGCACTTCAGGCCTGATGCACAGATCCCATGTTCAGACACTTGTCGGATTTTTAATGCCCCAGCAACCACCTAGCAACCACCCAGAATGAGCTAGTAACCACCTAGCAACCACCCAGAATGAGCTAGTAACCACCTAGCAACCACCCAGAATGCCCCAGCAACTGCCTAGCAACCACCCAGAATGCCCCAGCAACTGCCTAGCAACCACCCAGAGTACCCCAGCAACCGTATAGCAACCACCCAGAGTGCCCCAGCAACCGTCTAGCAACCACCCAGAATGCCCCAGCAACTGCCTAGCAACCACCCAGAGTGCCCCAGCAACCGTCTAGCAACTGCCTAGCAACCCCCCAGAGTGCCCCAGCAACTGCCTAGCAACCACCTAGCAACCACCAAAAATGCCCCAGCAACCGCCTAGCAACCACCCAGAGTGCCCCAGCAACCGCCTAGCAACCACCAAGAGTGCCCCAGCAACCACTCAAAATGCCCCAGCAACCGCCTAGCAACCACCCAGATTGCCCCAGCAACCGCCTAGCAACCACCCAGTACCCCAGCAACCATATGAACCACCCAGAACCACCCAGCAACCGCCTACCAGCCACCCAGAATGCCCCAGCAACTGCCTAGCAACCATCCAGAACGCCCCAGCAACTGCCTAGCAACCACACAGAATGTCCCAGCGTTCACCTATCCCACCCGGAACGCCCCAGCAACCGCCTAGCAACCACCCAGAATGCCCCAGCAACTGCCTAGCAACCACCCAGACTGCCCCAGCAACCGCCTAGCAAACACCCAGAATGCCCTAGCAACCACCTAGCAAATCACCACCCAGCACACCCTAGTAACCACCCAGAACCTGCCTGTCAACCACCCAGAATGCCCCAGCAACTGCTTAGCAACCATCCAGAATGCCCCAGCAACAGCCCAGTAACCACCCAGAATCCCCCAGCAACCGCCTGGCAACCACCTATAATGCCCTAGCGACTGTCTAGCAACCATCCAGAAGGCCCCATCAACCACCTACCCCACCCAGAATGCCCTAGCAACCACATGTGTGATCTGTAGTTCAGTTTAATTTAGCAGTGAGTCGCGATGAAAGGTTAGCGGATCTTTTCTTCCATTAGAGAGAAACAGATTCTATTCAGATTCAGGTCTGTGTGTGTCTGTTGTTGTTGGCAGTTCATAATTCAGTTCAATTCGGTTCAGGTTTTGTCCTTGTCAGTCGAGTCGATAATATTACTGAACATTAAGGATGTTTTCACACTTGCAATGTCATTTAACAAAATAATAATAATCTTTACATAAAAATATCTTGGTAAGTGAGGCACATAGAATGTAAGGGAATTGGATCAAATATTGATGGCCATGGGATCAGCCATCAAACACTGAACTGGACTAGATCCAAAAAGCAACAGTATGAACACAAAGTGGTCGGAGGCTTAAGTGGACCAAAATCTGAGAAGAAAAGAAAAGAAAAGTTCTTCTTCTCTCTGCTCCAGTCAGAGGCTGGATCTCAGGCGCCTCCTAGTGGCCTGGTTTGGATTTGCTCTGTTGGGAGTTTAGCTCTGATCAGCTCCACCAAACCCAGAAAGCGTTTCCCAGATAAACCTTCTCTCCTCCACCCACATACAGCATGTGTCACAGCAGAACAGCCATTACAGACACGGATTACTCAGATATCCCTCTGTTCTTACCGTTAGCAGCAGATTCAAGATCACGTGATTCCATCAACACTTCCAGATGCTGTTTGATGAGCTGTTTCTAATACGACCCAATGAAATCAGTTGTTTTTCCCCCAAAATTTCGTTAAAATTCTTCTGGATTCTGTTTTGATCATTTAATTCATTTTTCTGGATTCCGCTTGTAATATATATATTTTTTTTTCTTCAGAATTTCTGTGGTGTCTGTTAATTTTTCTGGATTCCGTTAAATTTAATTATTCATCAGAATTTTTGTGTTGTCTGTTTTAAATTTCTGGATCTATGATTTTATAAAAAAAAATGAATTACGGTGGTAATCAAATTAAGGCATAAAACATTCCGTTTTAATTTTCACATTTTAAAAATCAAAAGGCATGTTTTATCAATTGAATTCATAAAACTTTAATCATTTCATTTCATTTTTACAATAAAAGGGCCCTATTAAATGTTTTTTTCCCCCCAGAAATCCTGTTGTCGTCTGGAAAACAGAAAAAAATAAATAATAATAATTATGTATAAAATAAAATACTTAATAAAAATTAATCTTTTAAAAAGTAATCAAATGGAAATTCAGTTTGGTGTTTTGGCAAACAAAGTGCTACAAAACAGGGATTTACTGCTTATTATCGTTTAATAAAACTAAAATCATAATAAAACATATTTGTTAATTTTGTTTCAGGTAGTTGAAGCAGCAATTCTCATTTTCATTAAGTTGTACTATCTAAATAACTGAAACTAAAACTGAAATAAAAATGAATAAAAACTATAGACATATTTAAAAACAACACAGTAAATATGAAAAAAATATACAACAAAATTACTTAAAAAAATAAAAAATAATAATAATAATAATAATAATACTATCTCTGATGCTAAAACTACACTGGTTTACTGTTCAAATTAAAACATGCATGAAAAAAAAAACATTGTGGGATATTCCTAAAAAAATTCAGATTTGATAATGTTCATATGTATTTTCTTCATAAAGAGAGACAGACGCAGACGAGTTCACATTTACATCTCACACCCGACATTTGCGGAGTTCAGTGCCACTCCGCCTCAAGCCTCTCACACACCAGGACGATTATCGCGCGCTTATCGCCAGCGTCTTTGTGTTCATACCCAAGCCATTTTCCCTGGCGATGCGCCGAGTGAACGTGCAAATTCACTCCCTTAATCCTATTTAATCTGCAATTCCTTTCCATAACTCTTATCGAGATTTTTGTATCGCTGTGGCATTTGTCGTAAAGTTCTTTGTGTTGAGACAAGACACCAGCAGCTCTACTACATTCCTCTTTGGTGGAGTAATCACTTATTTTAATGAAACTGTTTGAGATCGAATTAATGCGAGATGTTTTGATATAAATTACAGACATGGCATCTGAGGAATATTTAAAAAAATTCTAAGTTATTTTGCTTTATTTCCAGATTCAGTCATAGACTCGTTCTTACCATAGTAGAGCTCGTTCACACATGCGCAGTCTTCAAAAACGGTGCTTTAAATCTCTTGACAAACTCAAAGATGTAAATTACATTTGTATGTATTCTAAATAAAAGACACAGGTTGCACTGAATGTCAGCTTGCTTATTTTGCTCAAGATCAGGATTTATTGAGTCCACATGTCATGCAATCTAGAAACTCTTCTTCTAACCGCAGCTCGAGATCTGTCGCTCACACACACACCTCTGTGATGCTGTTTGCGAATGTTCGTTGTAACGATGGTTTCGGGAAACACCGACTCGTTGAACTGCTGATAACGACGGAACTTGCGACCATAGTTGGCTAACGATGCTTTGGGGAAACGCACCCCAGGTGTGCATGCGCTGCAGTCGGCATGCAGCTGCAGTCGGCAAGTCAGATTGAGTGGATTTAGGCAAAATTTTGAATGTTTACAACTCTCATGCCCCTCCCCCACTATCAACGGAATACCCCCCCACTGAGTTTGTGGTCGTCAGTGTGTGTGCACCAGGTTATCTGTGTACGCGCCCGTCTCATCAGCATCCATCAACACCATGGAGTATTTGGAGGTATGCTGTCCTGGCTAATCTACCGATAGATTGCAATTGCTAACGTCATTTATACTCTAAATGAGCTTACTTGATTTGTTAGTGTTTTGAAAGCGAGATACATCCGCCATCACTCTTCGTTACTGCGCGAACTTCAGGCCTGGCATGTGATTGTAACGTGCGCGAGGGGTGGCGTGTGCCCGATCTGTGATTGACAGTCAGATCTCACACCCCCTGCGCTGATTGGACCCGATGATCCGGGAGCGGTGGATTTTTGCAAAACAGATAACGCTCCAGGTGGAGTTAGAAGCTCGGTTTTTTTTCTAAAACAACTTTATTTATGTTGTTCTGTCGGATTATAGTGTCGATTTCACTGAATATGATCAAAAAAATGTTGCCGATGGCAGCTTTAAACTAAACTGAATCAACATTGAACAGACTCGAGCTGAATAATGACACTACATCTCCTTTCATGATGAACTTTACAGTTATGAAACTGAACTAAATCAACACTGATCTGAATACTAACACTACTGTCACTATGCATAAATAAACAGAATCGTATTTAGCAATTTAGCACTGTCATTTATACTGTAAATTCCATGTTTATGACTGTATTCCGTCCACAAGTGAAGACGCCACTATCTGTGTGTGTTTCTCCCACAGAAGGAGAAGAAGAGCAGTGGCCTCCTCAAGCTGCTTTCCGGAGCGGCAGCCAAAAAGAAGTCCCGCTCGCCGCCGTCGGTGTCTCCCACACACGACCCCTCCTCTTCCTCGTCCTCGTCCTCCTCATCTTCATCCGTACGGGGAGCCATGGCCCCGGAGCTGCGGGCCGGGTCCTGTCCCGTGGAGAGCGAGATGCAGGGAGCCATGGGCCTGGAGCCGCTGCACAGAAAGAGTGGCTCACTGGATCTCAACTTCTCTGTGTCTCCACCAACACGACAGGCCTGTTCCTCATCCTCACCGCTGGCCATCAGGCCCGAACCCAAGCCATTATCCCGAGAGAGGTGAACAATCACATGCCTTTAACATCAACTAGGGGTGCAACCAGCCCCTCATGTCACGATTCGACACACATCACGATACTGAACTCACGATACCATATTATTGCGATACTCCAAGACATATATGTCTGTTGATTAAAATACTAAATTTGGTTTTACATTGGTGTGTAAATGAATAGGCTTGGACTTGGTGCTGGAAACCCAAAGCACAGGACAATAGAGACACCAGAATATATTTTATGATTCTGAAGCTGAAAATACAGAATTATTTTAGATGAATATTCTTGCACTCTGTCACTAATATTTCAAATAATCAGACATTTGGCATTATCAGAACCCACAAATATTCCCCCATTGCATTATTATACATTATATTCAACATTATATATAGTAGTTTAATGTAGTACTGACACTAAAACTCTGTAAACTTGAATTTTCTTCTCACACAGTGATTTTTATTTTGGCTGAACTATACACAATACATATTGTCACTATCCACGATACATATTGTTGCGTTATTGAATTGTTATATTATGACACGATATATTATTACACCCCTAACATCAAGGGAACCTTTTCAATGCACAGAAGTTTCTTTATAGTGGGAAAAGATTAGGAGTGTATATTTACCTTGTGGTTAGACGATATTTACACTGACTCCGCCCACTGACGTCTGATTGGCCCAGACAAAATTACGGAATCGTTTTGATGCAAATCGACTCGAGTTCGAATTCGCCTTTTGCTGAACTCGTTCGACTCCCTTTTCCCATCACATATCAGATCGGGAAGGCTTTTATTTTTAATAAAAATGAAGAAAGTGGTATTAAGTGGAATTAAAGTGTCTAACGTGTGTTTAATAATATGTGCCCCGCTCACCCCTAACTGTGGAGTTGATTAAATCATTGTTTTATGATTTGATGTTATCAGACATTGCCCATTTGGTATTAATTTGATTCGTACAGGTAAATCTGATTTTGATACTGTGCTGTTGTTGAACACAAGAACCGTGTTTCTCCTCCGTCAGGTTTCGTGTGAATGTTTCCCGTTATAAACGTGTGTTTCTCCTCCGTCAGGTTTCGCGTGAATGTTTCCCGTTATAAACGTGTGTTTCTCCTCCGTCAGGTTTCGTGTGAATGTTTCCCGTTATAAACGTGTGTTTCTCTTCCGTCAGGTTTCGCGTGAATGTTTCCCGTTATAAACGTGTGTTTCTCTTCCGTCAGGTTTCGTGTGAATGTTTCCCGTTATAAACGTGTGTTTCTCCTCCGTCAGGTTTCGTGTGAACGTTTCCCGTTATAAACGTGTGTTTCTCCTCCGTCAGGTTTCGTGTGAATGTTTCCCGTTATAAACGTGTGTTTCTCCTCCGTTAGGTTTCGTGTGAATGTTTCCCGTTATAAACGTGTGTTTCTCCTCCGTCAGGTTTCGCGTGAATGTTTCCCGTTATAAACGTGTGTTTCTCCTCCGTCAGGTTTCGCGTGAATGTTTCCCGTTATAAACGTGTGTTTCTCCTCCGTCAGGTTTCGTGTGAATGTTTCCCGTTATAAACGTGTGTTTCTCCTCCGTCAGGTTTCGTGTGAATGTTTCCCGTTATAAACGTGTGTTTCTCCTCCGTCAGGTTTCGTGTGAATGTTTCCCGTTATAAACGTGTGTTTCTCCTCCGTCAGGTTTCGTGTGAATGTTTCCCGTTATAAACGTGTGTTTCTCTTCCGTCAGGTTTCGTGTGAATGTTTCCCGTTATAAACGTGTGTTTCTCCTCCGTCAGGTTTCGTGTGAATGTTTCCCGTTATAAACGTGTGTTTCTCCTCCGTCAGGTTTCGTGTGAATGTTTCCCGTTATAAACGTGTGTTTCTCCTCCGTCAGGTTTCGCGTGAATGTTTCCCGTTATAAACGTGTGTTTCTCCTCCGTCAGGTTTCGCGTGAATGTTTCCCGTTATAAACGTGTGTTTCTCCTCCGTCAGGTTTCGTGTGAATGTTTCCCGTTATAAACGTGTGTTTCTCCTCCGTCAGGTTTCGTGTGAATGTTTCCCGTTATAAACGTGTGTTTCTCCTCCGTCAGGTTTCGCGTGAATGTTTCCCGTTATAAACGTGTGTTTCTCTTCCGTCAGGTTTCGTGTGAATGTTTCCCGTTATAAACGTGTGTTTCTCCTCCGTCAGGTTTCGCGTGAATGTTTCCCGTTATAAACGTGTGTTTCTCTTCCGTCAGGTTTCGTGTGAATGTTTCCCGTTATAAACGTGTGTTTCTCCTCCGTCAGGTTTCGTGTGAATGTTTCCCGTTATAAACGAGTGTTTCTCTTCCGTCAGGTTTCGTGTGAATGTTTCCCGTTATAAACGTGTGTTTCTCCTCCGTCAGGTTTCGTGTGAATGTTTCCCGTTATAAACGTGTGTTTCTCTTCCGTCAGGTTTCGTGTGAATGTTTCCCGTTATAAACGTGTGTTTCTCTTCCGTCAGGTTTCGTGTGAATGTTTCCCGTTATAAACGTGTGTTTCTCTTCCGTCAGGTTTCGTGTGAATGTTTCCCGTTATAAACGAGTGTTTCTCTTCCGTCAGGTTTCGTGTGAATGTTTCCCGTTATAAACGTGTGTTTCTCTTCCGTCAGGTTTCGTGTGAATGTTTCCCGTTATAAACGTGTGTTTCTCTTCCGTCAGGTTTCGTGTGAATGTTTCCCGTTATAAACGTGTGTTTCTCTTCCGTCAGGTTTCATGTGAATGTTTCCCGTTATAAACGTGTGTTTCTCTTCCGTCAGGTTTCGTGTGAATGTTTCCCGTTATAAACGTGTGTTTCTCCTCCGTCAGGTTTCGTGTGAATGTTTCCCGTTATAAACGTGTGTTTCTCCTCCGTCAGGTTTCGTGTGAATGTTTCCCGTTATAAACGTGTGTTCCTCTTCCGTCAGGTTTCGTGTGAATGTTTCCCGTTATAAACGTGTGTTTCTCCTCCGTCAGCTTTCGCGTGAATGTTTCCCGTTATAAACGTGTGTTTCTCTTCCGTCAGGTTTCGTGTAAATGTTTCCCGTTATAAACGTGTGTTTCTCTTCCGTCAGGTTTCGTGTGAATGTTTCCCGTTATAAACGAGTGTTTCTCTTCCGTCAGGTTTCGTGTGAATGTTTCCCGTTATAAACGTGTGTTTCTCCTCCGTCAGGTTTCGTGTGAATGTTTCCCGTTATAAACGTGTGTTTCTCTTCCGTCAGGTTTCGTGTGAATGTTTCCCGTTATAAACGTTTGTTTCTCTTCCGTCAGGTTTCGTGTGAATGTTTCCCGTTATAAACGAGTGTTTCTCTTCCGTCAGGTTTCGTGTGAACGTTTCCCGTTATAAACGTGTGTTTCTCCTCCGTCAGGTTTCGTGTGAATGTTTCCCGTTATAAACGTGTGTTTCTCCTCCGTCAGGTTTCGTGTGAATGTTTCCCGTTATAAACGTGTGTTTCTCCTCCGTCAGGTTTCGTGTGAATGTATCCCGTTATAACGTGTGTTTCTCCTCCGTCAGGTTTCTTGTAAATGTTTCCCGTTATAAACGTGTGTTTCTCCTCCGTCAAGTTTCGTGTGAATGTTTCCCGTTACAACCGTGTGTTTCTCTTCCGTCAGGTTTCATGTGAATGTTTCCCGTTATAAACGTGTGTTTCTCCTCCGCCAGGTTTCGTGTGAATGTTTCCCTTTATAAACGTGTGTTTCTCCTCCGTCAGGTTTCATGTGAATGTTTCCCGTTATTAACGTGTGTTCCTCTTCTGTCAGGTTTCATGTGAATGTTTCCCGTTATTAACGTGTGTTCCTCTTCCGTCAGGTTTCGCGTGAATGTTTCCCGTTATAAACGTGTGTTTCTCCTCCATCAGGTTTCATGTGAATGTTTCCCGTTATAAACGTGTGTTCCTCTTCCGTCAGGTTTCGTGTAAATGTTTCCCGTTATAAACGTGTGTTTCTCCTCCGTCAGGTTTCGTGTGAATGTTTCCCGTTATAAACGTGTGTTCCTCCTCCGTCAGGTTTCGCGTGAATGTTTCCCGTTATAAACGTGTGTTCCTCTTCCGTCAGGTTTCGCGTGAATGTTTCCCGTTATAAACGTGTGTTCCTCTTCCGTCAGGTTTCGCGTGAATGTTTCCCGTTATAAACGTGTGTTTCTCCTCCGTCAGGTTTCATGTGAATGTTTCCCGTTATAAACGTGTGTTCCTCCTCCGTCAGGTTTCGTGTAAATGTTTCCCGTTATAAACGTGTGTTTCTCCTCCGTCAGGTTTCGTGTGAATGTTTCCCGTTATAAACGTGTGTTCCTCCTCCGTCAGGTTTCGTGTAAATGTTTCTTGTTATAAACGTGTGTTTCTCCTCCGTCAGGTTTCGTGTAAATGTTTCCCGTTATAAACGTGTGTTTCTCCTCCGTCAGGTTTCGCGTGAATGTTTCCCGTTATAAACGTGTGTTTCTCCTCCGTCAGGTTTCATGTGAATGTTTCCCGTTATAAACGTGTGTTTCTCCTCCGTCAGGTTTCATGTGAATGTTTCCCGTTATAAACGTGTGTTTCTCCTCCGTCAGGTTTCGCGTGAATGTTTCCCGTTATAAACGTGTGTTTCTCCTCCGTCAGGTTTCATGTGAATGTTTCCCGTTATAAACGTGTGTTTCTCCTCCGTCAGGTTTCGCGTGAATGTTTCCCGTTATAAACGTGTGTTTCTCCTCCGTCAGGTTTCATGTGAATGTTTCCCGTTATAAACGTGTGTTCCTCCTCCGTCAGGTTTCGTGTAAATGTTTCCCGTTATAAACGTGTGTTTCTCCTCCGTCAGGTTTCGTGTAAATGTTTCTTGTTATAAACGTGTGTTTCTCCTCCGTCAGGTTTCGTGTAAATGTTTCCCGTTATAAACGTGTGTTTCTCTTCCGTCAGGTTTCGTGTGAATGTTTCCCGTTATAAACGTGTGTTCCTCCTCCGTCAGGTTTCGTGTAAATGTTTCTTGTTATAAACGTGTGTTTCTCCTCCGTCAGGTTTCGTGTAAATGTTTCCCGTTATAAACGTGTGTTTCTCCTCCGTCAGGTTTCGCGTGAATGTTTCCCGTTATAAACGTGTGTTTCTCTTCCGTCAGGTTTCATGTGAATGTTTCCCGTTATAAACGTGTGTTTCTCTTCCGTCAGGTTTCATGTGAATGTTTCCCGTTATAAACGTGTGTTCCTCCTCCGTCAGGTTTCGTGTAAATGTTTCCCGTTATAAACGTGTGTTTCTCCTCCGTCAGGTTTCGTGTAAATGTTTCCAGTTATAAACGTGTGTTTCTCTTCCGTCAGGTTTTGCGTGAATGTTTCCCGTTATAAACGTGTGTTTCTCCTCCGTCAGGTTTCGTGTGAATGTTTCCCGTTATAAACGTGTGTTTCTCCTCCGTCAGGTTTCGTGTGAATGTTTCCCGTTATAAACGTGTGTTTCTCCTCCGTCAGGTTTCGTGTGCTCGTCCCGTATCCGCCTCAGAGTGAAGCCGAGATTGAGCTGAAGGAGGGCGACGTCGTGTTCGTGCACAAGAAACGTGAAGACGGCTGGTACAAGGGAACGCTCCAGCGCACCGGTCGAACGGGCCTGTTCCCCGGCAGCTTCGTGGAGAGTTTCTAGAGGACAAACACCAGCTGACAAGCTCTGAATCACGGGATCGTCCCGAAGAAAGACACACACTCATGAAGACGAGCACAAGAACACAAGAACACAAGAACGAGCATCTTTACTGCCATCGTCCTCATACATCTGCTAGGAAGCCCTTTCAGATGATAGATGTGCTCTTCTGGAGGAGCGAGCGAGTGTGTGTGTGTGTGTGTGTGTGTGTGGATCACATCCTCATCAAATCGCTTTTATTTCCTCCTTGAATCAGCAGATCTGAATGATAACGACACAACGAGGATGTAATCGACAGTGATATCCGATGAATGTAGTGATGAAGCTCATCAAACCTGTCATATTTCACACCAAAATCAACAATTTATTTTGCATAAAGCAAATTTCTTTTTTATGATTTTTTTGGACTATTTTCCCCACTAGATTGTCATTCTTGTAATGCAAATGATTTCATGATGTATTATATAAATGGTAAATATGAATACAGCATGTTAGTATTAGTATAGTAGTGCCTTTATGCTCATTCAAAAGAAAAATAATGCATTACAGGATTGAGAATTGAGAAAATTTGTTTTGTTTAATTGTGAAAATAATGTCACAATAATATAATTTAATGATATTTCACACACACATATATATATATATATATATATATATATATATATATATGTATATACACACAAACTACTGGTCAAAAGTTTGGAATAATTACTTTTTACTACAATTATTATCAATTTAATTATTAAATTATATCAATTATTTTTGGTGCTCAATTATTAGTTATTATTATCAGTGTTGAAAACAGTTGTGCTGCTTCAGATTTTTTGTGGAAACCTTGATACATTTTATTTTTCAGGATTCTTTGATGAATAGAAAGTTTAAAAGAACAGCGTTGATTTGAAACAGAATCTTTTGTAACATTATAAATGTCTTTACTGTCACTTTTGATCAATTCAATGCGTCCTTGATGAACAAAAGTATTAATTTATTTGTTTAAAAAAACGTACTGATCCCAAACTTTTGAATGATCACAGTGTGTGAGTATATGTATATATATATATGTGTATACACATGTATATATGCATATGTTTGTGTTTTTGAGTGAACATGTTTTGATGAGCTTCACACACAGGACGGCTCATAATGAAAGCTGGTTTACAGTGATGGTACAGTGAAGCTCTTTGTGAAAGCACAAACTCTTCTTATTGATTTTAAATGCTGGTTCGGTTTCTCCCAGAGGATCCTGGGATGTGCATGCGCTGGTTTACGGCCTCATCCGTCTTACAGACATTATCCGTCTCGTTTACTGAGTCTCTGCAGGTTTGATGCCTGAAGCGTCTCTGCTTTGAATCTGCAGGTGTTGAGCGTCATAGAAGTATTTTCACGAGTTTTCCATGTGCTCAATGTGCCAGAAACAGACTTTACACGAGTACACAAACATGCTTGGCCAGCGTGTTGCAGGTTTCTGGTCATATTTAACATTTAAAGTCACCATGAAATCAAAATGGACATATCTTTTTTCTTTTTTTAATGGAATATTGCATCGGTGCACATCATTATTGTGTTAAATTGGTGTTCCTGGTAATCTTGAATCAGAATAACTTCCTCTCGCAGCGTCTCTTCTCTTCTCTGATGATGTGGGCGGGGCAACCTGTCACTCACATGAGATCAGCCAATAGCAAGCCCCGCCCACATTTGTTCTTGTTCCAGAAGTAAAGCCGACACTAATGTGTTTGTGAGTTACTGAGGAGGGTTTCCTTCACTTTTCTGAGCCGTTAATGTCCTCGATTTGCACCACCGAGAACGACATGTACTTGTGTGATTGAAATGCACTGACACATGAGTGTTCCTGTCCTCGTGTAGAGTCTGTTTCAGGCTTTAAGGTGTTCGAATGAAGACAGATCTCCGTCAGACGCCGCTCTACATTAGAGGACACGAACGGACCTGTTGAGTTCAGATCAAGCAGCACATCTTTATTTTAGAGATCAGGAGAAAAGATTCAAACACAACCAGAGCCGAAAGAATCTGAAGCACAAGCTCACACACTGCGGCTTTAGTCGGTGCACACAGAAATTAAATCCCAGTTATTTTGTGTAGTTGTTCAGCCAACAAAATGTCATTGTCATTCTTATTAAATTCCTCCGGAAAATACAGTAGTGGCAAAAAGTGATTAATGACCTGCAAGTTCAATTAAACCATCACGATAAGAGGAAATATTTTATATATTTTAAATATGATGCAAGAGCAAAATAAACTTGGTTAAGGTATTTATCTGACAAAATTATAAAAAGGCAAACTACTGTTACAGGTTTTATTGTATTATGCAAAACAAATGCATAGAAAAACAAAAAGCTGAGAGGAAAAAGTAAACAGTTTTTGTATGGGTTCATCATTTCTTTGTATGACAGTCGGGCCAAAAATTATGTCGCACAATTTGTCATGTTTCATTGCTTTTCAAAATCCAAGCACAACTCCACAATAAGCGTATTGAATCTTTAGCACATTTTATAATAATATCTGAATAAAGGGTGAAGAGTTTAGCTAGACATCACGTTTAGGCCACTACTGTAAATAGTTTATTAGATGTTAAATTTACATTTACATGCATTTGGCAGATGCTTTTATCCAAAGTGACTAACCAGGGTTGTTATTATAACTAAACCTAAAACTAAAAAATTGTTGCTTGAAATAAAATAAAATGTTATAATATTAACCAACTTTAACTGAAATAAATACTTAAACTTATTTTATTTCAGCTAGTTGCCAAGGCAAATTTTCTCATTTTCATTTAATTTTTATTTTGTTTAATTTAGTTTAACGTCATGTACTAAATTAACTAAAACTGAAAAAAAATAAAGCATTTTTTTTTTAACGCAAAAATGACAAAAACACAATAAAAATACTAAACCTTGACCTAAAATGAAAATAATTTTGAATATAAATGAAAATTATAATTATCTGACCAACATTATCAGTTCATGCATTCCTTGGGAATCAAATCCATTATTTTGCCGTTGCGAGTGCCATGATTCACTGTTTGAGATGAAGGTTTGCACTGAATTGAAATGAAAATGCTGATGTATGTCGGATTAAATAAGCATCCACCCTGACAGAGGTCCACTAGTGTGTGTTTAACATGTAAACCAGTGCAGGTTACGGGCCGCTCACACAGTGACGTGTTCTTATGTTCGGTCAGCACTGTTTTTATAAAGTCGCCATGAAATCAAAATGGAAACAATTCTTGTTGCAGTGTTTATTCTGAATGATTTATTATTATTGTTTTAAATTCATGTTCCTGGTAATCTTGAATCAGAGTAACTTCCTCTCGCAGATTCTCTTCTCTGATGATGTGGGCGGGGCAACAACCTGTCACTCACATGAGATCAGCCAATAGCAAACCACAACCATCCAATCAATTCCTCACAGACAAAATCAAGCCCCGCCCACATTCTTGTTCGAGAGGCGTTTCACTCGGATATACGGCACAATAGAGGAGAAAAGAGCAGTTTAGTTTGTTTATGTCCACATGCACTAGACACCATTGCGTTTTGCCCTTATAATACGGGGGCGGGGCAACCTGTCAATCACACGAGACCCACCAAAAGCAAACCACAACCATCCAATCAATTCCCCACAGACACGATCGTTGCGTTTTGCCCTTATAATACAATAGTTTGTTATCGACACACGAACACGTCCTGTAAACGCAGGTGTCTTTTGTATTAATAGCACAAAAGGATCATCTGAAGGCTGTAAGGACATATTTCTGAATGTAGAGGTGAAAAGCATCAATATCAAAGAGTCATGAGCACATGGATTCCTCTTTCCCAGCATTATTCAGCGCTCGCTCTTCATAAGCACAAGACGATTCATCCACACGTTCCCCCGAGTGCTTCTTTTGGACAGTGTTTTTACTCTCCCGCTCTGTATGTCGTGCTCTTTTTATCAAATCATTGTGGATTTGATCATGCCGTGTTTTTCACATCTGGAGTTTCGCCAGAAGACAAGCACACGTTGGTCTCCATGTTGGAGATGAGATGATGACCACTGAAAAGAGGAATACTTCTCCTTCACATGATCATTCTGTCTTTATTTAACTCCTCGTTTTGCATCATAAATGACGGCAGAATGATTGATGAGAACGTTTCCAGCATGAACTCTATATGATTGACATATTTATATGATATTGGTGCTCGAGTGGAGATGTTGGGGAATATTTCCTCAAGAACTTGTCCTCTGGTATTTGACATTGTTTTCATTTACACATTGTCTTATACTGATTATGATGATAATGTGGTTTGTTTTTGTTTGTTTGTCAAGTACATTTTTAGCAATAAATGCCTTTGATTTAAAAGCAGGGTTAGTGGAGTTATTCTTATAGACATCACATCATCGTTGTGATTATGCAACGCACGGGCTGACCTTTAACTCTAACCTTATAGTTATCAGCCAGAATTTTTGATAATTTTCACAAAACTTTCATGGCCTCAAGAATATTTTTGTTGTATGAATATCTGAACATGCAATAAATCAAGAGTCTAGCTTCATGCATTCTGTTTTTATCAACATTTGAATGTGGGCAAATTTTATTTAAAAAAGCAACATTTTGAACAACAATTTGAGATTACGTTTTTTTCAACATGACATCATGACTTTGCGTAAACATAGCCTACACGCCACTTTCAAGTCAAGTGGCGTGTTATCTTTTGAGCTATCCGCGTCATCTTTTGCGTGTATGTCTCCGCCGTTAAACGTCCGAGTGATTCCGCGTGTATGTGTACGCCGTTAAATGTCCGAGCGAAACGAAGCAAAATTCATATCTACACCTGGCTGTGGAGCACTATTTTTTTTCCTAAGATTGTAGGGGAAGACTCATAAATGGCATTAACCCCAGTGACGGGTAGGTTTAGGGACGGGGTTGGGGTAGGTCATATATTTAAACAGTAATGTAACGTTAAGTCAACAGCGTTGATAAACACGCTGAAAAACGATTATGCGTGTTGATAGGACGCCAAAAATGGAAATACGAATTGGCGTGTCATACGTACGCCATTTCATGAGATCAGTCTGGGTTTTTTTTTTTTTTTTTTTATCAAAGACTACATTCATAAGCAATGCATCTATGGCTTGTTTCTGCTTCTTCATCTTTGTTTAAATCCGTAGATTCTATGGAAGCTTGTTTCCGCCACAGAATAAAATTTTTTAAAAGATAATTGCGACTTTATATCATGCGATTCTGACTTTATAACACGCAATTCTGACTTTATATCACACAATTCTGACTTTATATCACGCAATTCTGACTTTATAACACACAATTGCGACTTTATAGCTGGCAATACTGACTTTATAACACAATTG